CTCAGCGCGGCGCCCGCGGGGTCCGCCCGGGCCGCTGCCCGCGGCGGGGACGGCGCCCGTGCTCGGGGCCCGTTCGCGCCCCTCGTGAGGGGCCGCCGGCGTCCGTTACGGAGCAGCCGTTTGTGCCCCTGGCTGAGCGACCGTTGGCGTCCGTTACGGAGCAGCCGTTTGTGCTCCGGCTGAGCGACCGTTGGCGTCCGTTATGGAGCAGCCGTTTATGCCCCTGGCTGAGCGACCGTTGGCGTCCGTTATGGAGCAGCCGTTTATGCCCCTGGCTGAGCGACCGTTGGCGTCCGTTAAGGAGTAGCCGTTAGCGCCCCTTTTGAGGGGCCTTTGGTGCATCTTTGGTGCCTCTAGAGAGGGGTGTCCGTTAATGTGCAGCCGTTAGCGTCTGTAGTGAGGGGGCAGTGGGCGTCGGTTAACGAGCAGCCATTAGCGCTCGTTATTGAGCAGCCGTTAGCGCCCGTTGTGAGGGGCAGTTGGCGCCCGTTACTGAGCAGCCGTTAGCGCCCGTTGCAAGGGGCCATGGGTGCCCGTTGCAGGCAGGCTCCCATGGTGGCGGCCGCCCTTGCAGTAGGTGCCCGCCACAGCACCACTGATGCCTCCAGCGGCCCGGGTGATGCGGTTGCCACGAGCAGAGCACACGGCCGGTGTGAGGCAGCTCGCCCAGGGCCCTGTTAATCATTGCCAGGCCCTGGACACCACGCCGGTGCGTGCCCGCCCGTGGTGCGTGCCCGCCCGTCCGCCCACCCAGCCATCCTCGCAGCGGGCCGGGGGCGGAGGGCGCAACGCGTGACCTGGTCCTCGAGCTATAAGAACGCATCTTTGCAGGCAGGGACTGAGCTGAGCAGCAGGCACCAAGGCAGCGGGGTGCCCAGAGGTCCAGCTGTGCGAGGCTGCACTTTGCAGAGGAGTTTTCTTCTCTTCAGTGCAGCTCACCGGTTGTCTCTAGTAACACAGGCTTGTGTCTGTCTGCAGAGACTTGTGCTGGTGCCTGACAGCGGGCTCTGCTCACCCAGGAGGGGTCTTCATCCCCTCTGGGGCAGTAAGGACGCTCTGCAAACAGGTAGGACTGGTTCTGCTGAGCAAACTGAGCAGGGGCTGAGGTGCCCGCTGATGCTGTGTGCAGGGGAAACCTGGGCTCTGCGCAGGGGAAACCACTATTGTGTTGTCAGGTGGTCTCTCCTGGTGTTTTAAATTCCACATTTAATTCATCAGGTAGAAATAGAAGGAAATATTTATGCTGGAGAGCCTCTTACATGGCTTACAGATGTGAACGTAAATAAGGACAAGAAATGTGCTTACAGATGTGAATGTATAAAAGGACAAGAAATGTGTAGAACTAAATGCTGAGGACTGAGCGGAAAATGTGTATGTTCAGTGTAAAAAAAAAACTTAAAAATAGTATTTAAAAATGTTTAAATGTAAATTAAAACTTATTGTAACTACCATGGTTAGAATGTTAGTTCAGCATCAATTTAAGTACAGTGCCCCTGTACTTACAAGTAGTTACAAGAAGTTCTGCTGTAAACAAAGTACAGATGCATCTTTTCCAGTGTATTTAACAGAAAGTGCAGACTTAGAACATCACGTCAGTATCCATGAAGATACTCAGGTATTCTTGTGATGAATCCATGAGAAATAAGCATGATACGTTGTTGTTATTCATATACTTTATTACTTGGAAAGTTAAGTGTAGCCCGGACTTGAGATTATAGTTAGAAAACTGTGAACTGAAAAGTGATTGGAAATTTGAATGAAATTCAGTTTAAAATGAGAGATGTTACAGCTTTGGCTGGTAGTGTCCTCGTTTTTACCAGTGCCTTGAAAAACTGGAATAACTAAGTGTTAATCACACATTGATTCTGCTGACAACAGCTTTCTTTGCAGCCATGTGCTGTTCACAGAAAACAGCATTCTTAATAAGGCTGTAGTTGCACAAATAACAAACCGAAAATGGTCACTTTCCTACTGTCTTTCTCAAGATTCCCTTTGCCACAGATTAATACAAGTTTCTGTGCTGAGGGCTAATGTTTCTATCATATTTGTGTTGCTTAGGTCATTTCTTGTGCTCTTCTGGCATCTATAGGCCAATTTTTAACATATATAGAAAAAGTTTAGCACCGTAATAAAATTGGTTGTAAGAAAAATAATAGCCAAACCCTGTTATCCTTCCATATTAAAGCTGTTATTATTCAGTTTGTTCCATAGTCCAAAATCTAGCTTTGTTTTTTTTGTGTTTTTTTTTTTTTTTTTTTGCTAAGACTTTAATCAAACAACCCTCTTCCTCTGATTCTTATTCACAGTGAGTACAACTCACTGAAAAGCTTTGTCTGACTAAACTTCCAGTTGATATCTAGTTCCTTATGCTTTATTTATCCACTTCTGTTTCTCTGAAGTGAGTAGATTTCCTGGAGTCAAACACAGCATCCTTAGGTTGTATGAACAGTGAGATTTGTGAAATGATTATGACCTACATCTTAAATCCATGATTGTTTGTCTCTTTCTAGGGCTGTACTACTTAAAATAGTATATGTGAGCTAGTCTCTGTGTTAGCTATTTTTTTTTTTTTTTTTTTTTCTGTCTTCTATACAATCTATGTCCTCCTTCCTGAATAGCAGTAGAAAATAGTGTAAGAACTTTTGGACCACTACCAAGGTGATGCACAGATTGGATCTCTGTACAGGCAGTGGTGAAAGTTGTTAAGATTTGTTTTCTAATGTCAACTTTTGTTCCTGCTGCTAATTTTTTGTATGACTCTTTTCAGGAGAACTTAATGCCTTCATGGAAGCTAGGGAATATGCCTTGTTTTAGGGAGTAGATACTCAGTGATATGAGGTAAAGGAGCAACCCGCAAAAAAGGACAGGAAAGATCAGGTCTTGGCTGCTCTTGAAAACAAACTCCGGGGCTTCATAGATCTGTTTTTCACTTTGAGGATGATTTCTGCAAGGAAACAGTGATGGTGAAATTCATTTTATGCTTAGCAATTATAGGATTGTAGATCATTTGATGTATTTAGAAAATAGAGGTATTTTTGATATCTAAATACATGTTGATTTAACTGAGAAAGGCGTAAGATTTCTGTAGCACAAAATAGGAGACTTGGGGATGTGGAAGTTCAGATCTTTTTCTGGCAGAAGTTGACAGAGCGGTGTTAAAGTGAAGCTATGCAGACTTTTATCAGATGAAGAAGTGATCCAGATTTTTCTTTTATCTTTACTATTTCTGTTAGAAAAGACTTTGTGACCTGTGACAAAACATTTTTTTTCCTCTCCATTAAATATTTAGAATTGCAGAACTGAATTAGATTGTCTCTATGCCAAACACTGAAGCTTTAATGTAATGGAAATGAGTATAACAGCTAAAACATGCTTATTTTTTAAAGATTACCTTTTAAATATGAATTAGGCTTATTCCACATCTATTTCTGTTATTTTATCTTTTTTTTCCTGAATTATTATTATTTTTGTCTTAGTGACAATACCCCTTTATTGAAGCTGTTACATATTTTCTCCATTTTTACTACTGTCAGGGACAAAACAAACCAAGTGATACTGATTTGGTGCAAGATATTGTGACTATATATAGGTAATTTTGGTATTTTGTAAATGAGAGGAGTCTCTTCAGAATAATTTTAAGGATTGTTTTTGCAGGAAAGTACCTGTAAGCAACTTTTTAAAGCTTCTCTGCATTCAGACATGGCATGATTTTTGTATATGCCTGCTGTCATCCGTGCAGCTAATCTAATCAAGGAAAACAAACATTTGCTCTGACATTTGAGGAGGTAAATCAGAACTCATATTTATAACTGGTGCGTGTGTAACGTGATAACATTTATAACTCAAAATACTATATTTTGAAGGTCTGTCAGTAGGCCCAGACTACATAAATCATTCCTAAAACGACCTAAAATGGTCAAAGTTTATGTTTGTGGGCAATGTTTTTGTTATTTGGGGACTCAAGGCTGCTGTCAGCTGTTAATGAATTGAGGGAGGAGGATCAGTATTTCTCTTCTGAGATGACTTGATTACTTCTGAAGTTCCTCTGAAAGGATATTAAAAAGAAGTGAGTTAGTGTAAAGTGGGTGTTTGTTTGTTTGTTTGTTTTTTACTGTTGCAGCAGTGCTTTTGTGAAAAGCTTACTTTGCTGTTCTCTTTCTGCAGATAGAATTACCGCATGAAGCTATGCCTGTTGATAGCTGAAGGTTTCTAGGTCACCTTCTGTAAGTATCTAAGTGACATTTAAGTGCATCTAACTGGCTTTTTTTTTTTTTTTCCTGTATTAGTAGTAACTATTCCTAAGAACCTTTGCCTGGAAGCTTTTTGTAAGTATTTGATACAAATTCTTAAAAAGTGTCCATGGTAAGGTAAGGGTACAGGGAACTTGAGCAGAAGTTGTTATTGTCTACTCATTTACACCATATCCTTTTGCAAAACAGTCTCTTTATTTTACATTCCAATGAAAAGTTCAAGAACTCTATTTTCTGGGGGCTGTAAATCAGACAGACAGGGAGGCCAGTTTCCACTGTTCTACTTTGCCTCTTGGGATCTCCTAGAGCAGAACTTTTACTGCAGGACTCTTATTGTGTAAGCTGTAGATTGTGAAGCTTGTCCTTGAGAGCATGTCATAAAATAAACAGGGTGGAATCTTATCTGTCTCTATCTTAGAGGGTAAAGGAAATAAAAATGTTGGGAATCGCATGTCTTAATGGCAGACCAATCATCAGAACATGGGTTTTATGATCATCAGTCGAGCAGATTGCTCACTGTGGAGAGCAATACAGCTTTGTCGCGTGCATCAGAACTCTCAGTGCAGGACTGGAACTACCCTAATTCCAAAGCAATTTGGCTGGAAAACTTCTGAATTCTTTGCTAGGTGTTAAATATTTAAGTCTCAGTTCTTACATTCGCAAAGTAGTCTTGAGAGGGTATCAGCCCAGTCAGTTGTTAAACACCACATGTGTTAGATGACAGATCTTTCTATCCAAAGCAGCAGATGGTATTTTGGAGAAGGGGTAAAAGTCTAACGATGTTTGGGGATGAGCATGTAGCAAGCTTTGGGTGATGTATGTGAAATGTGCAAAGGGACTGACACTGGAATGGCTGGTAGACGATGCGTGTGCATGCATGTGTGTACCATTACAGAATCACAGAATGGTTAAAGTTGAAAGGGACCTCTAGAGATCATCTAGTCCAATCACACTGCTCGAGCAGGGACATCTAAAGCATGTGGCACAGGATGGCATCCAGACGGATTTTGTAGATCTCTGGAGAAGGAGACTCTACAGCCTTCCTGGGCAGCCTGTTCCAGGGCTCTGTTACCCTCACAGTCAAGAAGTTCTTCCTCACATGCAGGTGGAATTTCCTGTGTTTCAACTTAAACCCATTGCCCCTTGTCCTGTCACTGGCCACCACTGAGAAGAGTTTGACTCCTTCCTCCCTACATTCACCCTTCAGGTATTTATACACATTGATCAGATCTGCTCTCAACCTTCTCTTCTCCAGACTAAACAGACCCAGCTCACTTAGTCTTTCCTAATAAGATAGAGGCTCCAGTCCCTTAATCATCTTCATCACTCTATGCTGGGCTCTCTGTAGAAGTTCCACGTCCCTCTTGTCCTGGGGAGCCCAGAACTGCACACAGTACTCCAGATGCGGCCTCACCAGAGCTGAGTAGAGGGGCAGGATTACCTCCCTTGACCTGCTGGCATCACTCCTCCTGATGCAGGCCAGGATCCCATTGACCTTCTTGGCCACGAAGGTACGCTGCTGACTCATGGCTAACTTGTTGTCAGCCAGGACTCGTAGGTCCCTCTCTGTGGAGTTGCTCTCCAGCAGGTCCACCCCTAATCTGTACTGGCACCTGGGGTTAGTCCTCTCCAGATGCAGGACGCTGCACTTGTCCTTGTGTATGTATATTTATACATAAAACATGTCCTTGTCACATATATTTGTATGCCATACCTGTATATACAGTTTTAGCACTTCTGTGACCTGCTAATACATACAAAGTCATTTTTTGGAGGCATTGTTCCTTAACACTTCATCTTGTTCAGAGAGGAGGTCTCAGTGGTTACCATTTGTCTAGTGTGAGTTTCTCTGTTGTCTGGGCCTGCCTCTTCCAGAGTACACTGCATGACGACAGATACTTTGTTAAATCTTGTAAGGTACTCTACTGGGAAATAAGAATATAATTAATTGCTTTTTTTTTTCCTTGAAATGAAGTTTTTTTTATATATATATTTGCGGACTTTTTTTTTCTCTTCTTATTCTTATTTATTTATTTATTTTTGGGGATCGTTTTATATTAGTGCCTTTTCTTGTCCTTTGATCTTATGCAATTCACTCAGTATAGCCAAGGCACTAACAGGTGGTGGCCACATGGTTCTCTTGCAGAACAATGATGTATATTATGCCTAAGATCATCATAAAGCCTATTTAACACTTTGAAAATGAGAAGTTCTCCCTTTCTGTAATGTAATACTGAGGTATGTGTGATTTACTAATGCATCCTGTACTGTTCTGTGTTACACTGAAGATGTAGAAGCGTGGAATGGCAATACTATTTTCACTGCTGTATGCTGTGTTGCATATACTGCTTGAAGATTGATTGTCAGTCAGCTTCTCTTTAAGTGTTTATGTCTCTATACTGCTCACTTGTATTAGAAATATGACTGATCTAGGTTTGCTAATATTTGTTTCTTGGTTTTGTTTGCACAGGATCTGCGTGCACATCTCCGTTCAGCATTCAAGATGGTATTTCGAAAACCGCCAGATGGTGGCTGGGGCTGGGTGATCGTGGTCGTTTCCTTCTTTACTCAGTTCTTGTGTTACGGATCACCGCTGGCGGTGGGAGTCTTGTATGTGGAATGGCTGGATGCTTTTGGAGAAGGGAAAGGCAAGACTGCTTGGGTTGGATCGCTAGCAAATGGAATTGGATTGCTTGCCAGTAAGTGTAGATGCAGTATATGTCTTAAAATGAAATGTTTCCTTTATAGCATATACTTTGGTCTGTGTGTCCTTTTAGAATTTTTTTTTTTTATAATTGAAGACAGCTGGAAAGGAGGAAAATGAATGAGGACATTACTTTTTTGTCCTAGGTCAAGGTGACTTAAGAGTAACTACATTAAGAGTTCTGCTATACCTAATATGAAAAGCTACAGTGGTAAAAGAACAAAAAAAAATTACCCTCAGAAAATCTAAAATCATTCAATTTGAATAAACTAGTGACATCAAACTCTGAGCAAACGGAACCATAATTTCGTTGTTGCTGAATTTCTTTTTTTCCTATTTCTTTCTTTTTTTTCTTCCTTTTTTTTTCGGAATGAGACATTGACACTAGCTTTCGCATTTATATCTTTAAAAGCGAAACAACTGTTAGCCTGAAGTATCACAAGTGATTCAAAAGGAAAAGGGAAAGGTCAAATAATAAACCAGTTACTTTTTTTTTTTAAACTCTAGAAATAAAATTTCCAGTTAGGGTAGCTAAGGGTTATTTTTCACAGTTTGTTTAAGGAAAAAAAAATCCCTTTGATACCTAGAAAATTATGTGGCAATAGTGGCATTAAGTAAAACCACTTTACTAAGAGTTTGTTGCTTGAAGAGAAATAGCTGGCTTCTGAGGAAATAAAGCACCACTTTGGAAGTCCATAGGTCCATTTTGTTGTTGTTTTGTTGTTCAGGGTAATATCTGACTTCTGCTTTCCAAAGTTGTTGTTCAGGGCAATACCTAGCTTCTGCTTTTCAGAGTTTTACCGTGGACACTATTATCTTTACACTAAAACTGTCAACAAGTTTAATTGTCAGCAGAGAAATTGCTATGGGCAAAACCATTAAGTAATTTAATGGACAAAATCCAGTTCTAGATTCTGAGGAAATGTCTCTCTGAAAGAGGGTTGCCATTCAAATGGTGATGCAGAACTGAATAGAAGCCATTGCTTTCTGTGATTGTATAGATGGATGAATACTGGCATGACACTCATGTGAAGAATTTTTACCACTAGCTGAACAGAAATGGGCAAAGGTTATGGGTTGCTAACTACAAGAAAGCTGGATGTATCCATTTACATCCCAGAGTTCTAGAATTCAGGTTGCTCCATTATTCTCGGCACATACTCTTCCTATGTTAAGGATGTTAATGCATATGCTTTAAAGCATTAAGACCTACATGAATTGATTGAGAGAAGGAAGTGAAAGAAAAGGCCAAAGAAGATAGTTACTGAACTAAAACTAAACAGGAGGCAATTGCAAGAGAAGGGGTGAAGAAAAACCTCTCTGGAGACCAAAAGTCTCTGGCTTACAGCTGTTTGTCAGTAGCTCGTCTGACAAGAGTCTTAGCCCATTTTCTACTATGTCAACACTATGCTGCTTTCCAGATTTCAATTCCCTCCTCTTAGCTGCTGTAATAATTGTCCAGATTGCGCTTTATAGCAAATAAAAAGTTCTGTGACCAATTAATGCAAATCAAAGATGCTTTTAATATTCTTTTTGGTATAGAATAATTAAATCACTTGGAATTTTGACAGGGCGTAGGAGGAACTCTGTGTATGTTTGGGATTAGAAAACAGTTGCCTTAATGATCCTTTCTGTTTTGTAATGCCTCCAAAGACAAGTACAGTGAGGACTTTTTTTTATTGATATTATCATAGAGTTCACTGAAAACAAAATGTACCCACCATAAAAGACCCTACTGTCTTGTCAAGCTGACATCTGACCCTAATAACTCTCCTTAAAACCTATTGGAGGGACAATGTTAGTATTGTAACCACTACCCTAAGACTAGACTATCCTTTGCCTATTAGAGTTTCTTGTGTTACTGGTACACTTGTGTATTTCTGGAACACTCCCCAGGCCTCTTTGAATAGTAATATCTAAAACTTTCACTCTAGGATTGATATAAACCAAGTAATAGTAATGATTACTGTTGGTTTCTGGTGGATGTAGTAGGAAATGGACAATCCTGTTTCATTCTCAAATCATTTTTCTTGGGAGAATAAATCCTACATCTTTGATGATAAAAGCCTTCTATTGCATGTAAGGAGGAAGTTCCCCTTTATGGAAGAAACTTAGCAAGGACCAAAATATTGGAATTAATGCTCTTTAATATGCATGTCTATGGGAAGAATGATTACCTGGTTCAGAAATGAGTTACTTTGCTGCATCTTGTGTTTCTTCTCTGTGAAAGACCTATTCTTCTCCCTTCACAGTGTAAGAAGCATGCATGGTATAATAGTCATTAAAAAGCTCATAGGTAAGCTTTTATGCTGACTTAAAAATAATATGAAAGAATATAATCCCCTAAATGTATTTTCATTTAATATCAGGTCATTAAAGAGCTGCAATTGCTACTAGAGAGAACATGAAATGATTTTTTTTAATATTTATTAGAAATTATTTGCTCGCCTATCATTTAAAAATTCAAAACCTTCACTTGATTAGGGTTTTTTAAGTTGTATAGGATGTATTTTCAGCCCAGTTCATGAGACATGTAATTTCTTAGAAACTTTGTTTTTCATGCTGTTTTCAAGGCAGACCTCTTCCAGACCTAGTCACTAGTTTAAGCGACTAAAGTTGTTTCTTTAAAGATGTATGTTTTAATACAAAGACATTGACATAACATATTGCATAGTCATGAATACAAAAAGAGAGAGACAGTTTCTGTTGTAATTTCTGCTATTGCAGGTTCCAGTATTATAAGTTAGGTGGGTCTTTTCTGTGTTACTAGATGGTCAAAGTGAATTTTTCTGAATTATCCTACTTTCTTATCTGTGAAAATATATTACCTGTACTTTAATGTAAGTCTCCCCAAACAAACTGCTTTCCCTAGCGATATTACACATGAACAAATCAATTCACTTGAAAACTTTTTTTTTATTTTTTTAAATGTCTGTAGCTTATTAGAATATCTTTCCTCTTGATCCAAGAGCCCTCTACTCCTCTACCTTTAAGACTCTTGCTGGGAGCCCTCTCCAATTCAGTCTCACCCTTCTGATGATGTTGATGCTGGATGAGAGAAACAGTAGCAGTTATGGGGGGTTGCAACTATGTATAGGCAGTAATAGAACTTTTTTTTTTTTTCAACAGGTATTTTTTCTTATTGACAGAGCTGATAAATCACATTAAATCTTTGCAACTGTAGGAAGCAGGTCCAGGGACTTTGCTAGATTAGTACTATAACTGCATCAAAAAGAAATATGTGTCCTTTTATATATGCTATATGCCATACATTTATCTACTCAGCTTCCCTCCATAGCTGTAGTCTTGAATATTTTTTACAAGTGGCTGATGTTGGTAAGTCCTATTACATTTGCTGAGTTGGTATCCTTTCTACTTCTACTTTCTACAGTGTTTACTTCTGACTTGTGTGAGAGCTAAACTTAGATTTGAGACATAGAAACCCAGTACAGCACCTTGTTTATTGAGATGAGTTTTCTCGTAGCCTGTGTTCCATTTCTGTCCCCTTGCTTGTAACACGGGCAGTGTTGCTAAGGCTGAATGTTCTGCCATGAGTAAGAGAGCTCATCAGCTGGAAAGGAGATCGGACTGGGAGATTGGGGGTTCGTTGCTGTGCAGGATGGTGTTAGTTATAACTCCGTGCTGTGTGACCCTATGGTGCATTATTGAAAAGTGACTAAAAACAGAAAGAAAAGCACCGATGCCTTTGAACAGGGCAATGTTGAGACCTCCTCTTATGATACTAGGTATCATTCTAATTAATACTGCTGAGGCTATAATAGGTGAGATAATAGTCTCAGGATGATGTAGGGTAATTGAGAGTCAATCTATAGGGGGAAATTGGAAGGACTTAGTGTATTTAGCATAGTTGTTTTACCAGGACAGTGGAGAATATTTATTATGTTCTTCATAGTCTTGTGTTTGTCCTACACCAAGTGTTCTTAATTTTACACCCATTTGAAGATCAAAATTAAATTAGATCCATGTTATACTTGTTGAAACCAAAACAGACAAAGACCTTGGTGTCTCTCATTGGCACCACAGCTGTTTATAGTAAAAGTTGATTTCACAATATTTGGCATTGCAGGATACACCAGCTATATGTCTTCCATTCCACTTTATTAATGGAGAAAGAACACAGGAAAGGTTTTTCTTGAAAGGCAAGTCTTGAGAGAGTAACATGGTGTTTTTACTGGTCTGAGACATTTAGTATTAAGTGTCTAAAAAGCATGGTTTTGTGTTTTCGAGCAATATTTTTATAAGTTTGCAGAAGACCTTTCCAGCATTTGCAGATTTTTGGAAAAAAGTCTTACACATATATAGCTCCCACCATAATCTACAGAAAGTGTATAGAAATCTATACAAATCTATAGAAAATATTTACACTAAAGTATACATCTTTGTCCCCTTAGAAGGGGAGGGAAAAGGGGACTGAAGGAGAGACAGCAGAAGGATGGAAGGGTTTCTCCCAAAGAAGTTCACTTTTGTCAGAAAGGAGTGAGAATCTTTGGAGAATGTTCTCCAAATGTAAATTTTTTTTTTTTTTTTTAATAATCTAGTGTTCTTGCCCAAAGTGCAAGGGCAAGGGAGATTTTCTTTATTACTATCTGGTTTTAGCAGTGCCTTCTGCTAAAGTCTGCTGGACATAACAAAAGCAAAAAATTGCTTTTGTTATGTCCAGCAGACTTTGCATAGAGACAATGATCATTGTGTCAACACTGCAGTTTTAACAGGCTCAGACAAATACCTGCAATGGGAAGAGTTAAATTAATACACATGATAAGAAAAAGAACTCAATTTTCCAGTGTTGTTTGTTTAGTAAATGTCTTGTGAGTGTATGTGCTGAAGGAGGAAGGACCCTAAAAGTGAGTGGAAGAAGAAATAATTTGCAGAGTTCTCTCTCCATGTGAGCAGATGCAGCAGTAGAGTTTGGTTCTTGATATCCATAAAAGATATATTCTTTTTTATATAGTAAAATTGCAGGCTGAAGCGTTGTCTTCACAAGGAGAATGTCTACAGAGGTCAGAAGATCGTGGCAGTTATAAAATTTATGTGTGGGACTAAGTAGCTTGTTTTCACATGTCACAAAGGACTGACTGGTCACACTAAGGGTCAAGTCTTTTATTCCTTTTAAAAAAGAGACCTTAAGGAAAATATCTGTGTACAACTGAACCCTCCCAGTTCCTCCCCTTTGATCTCCCTGCCTCAAGGTCTGCTGCTTTGTAAAAGATCTCGGGAGCCTCTTGACCACTTCCTGCAGAGCCTGATAACTGTATTATCTGGCTGCTGAGCCTTAAATGGTCATATGCAGGGCACTGGTGGGCTTTTAATCCTTTAGATCTTTTGAATCTTTGAGAAAAATACAGTTTTCTTCCTAGAGTTAGCTGCCACTCAGTTAAACTGGATTCATACCCATTCAAACAGATTTTGTTCTAGCCTTAAAATGTATGGTTTGGAAGGAAAAAAAAACAGTGATTTTTTTTGTATCAGAGGTCAATATTTATAAAAATCTTCAAATATCGTGCTTATACCTTTGCTAACTCTGGGAGTTGTCTAGCAAACTAAAGAAAATGCTGTCCTAAATGCCACTGCCTTTGCTTCCTATTTAGGAAAGTCACTGGTTTTATTTTATCTTGGACAAAACTGCAGTGAGAAATGTGTTATCAGTGGAAAAATCTTTCTGAAATACCGTCAACTAAAACCCTTATGCTGCCTGAAGAGCCATTTTCCTTGAGAAAGTGAGAGTCCATTTTGAGCAAAGTCCACAGGGCAGGAATTCACAGAGCAAGTCTGTCTCACTCTGGGAAAGTTGGATGTTTGACCAGATTTAACTGCCTTGAACCTATTGTACTTGAATTACTTGTAGAGAATAACATGTTTGTGTACAGTAAATGCCTGTAAAAATACCATGGCAATAATCAAAGGTACTGTGTCTGTTAGGAAAAAAATGCAAGCTCTTTGGGGAAAAAGGAGAGGAAAGGCAAGGAGAAAGGACTGCATATTGCAGTGTTCTCTTTCGTGACTTTTTTTCTTCCCTCTGGAATGGTATAATGAAGGGAATGTGAAAATAGAGCCTTGGGTGTAGGGAAAGACGGAGCTGTTTTTCCTCTTATCCCCGAGACCTGTAATAACTATTGTAATAGTTACTTTGGTGTTCTTACAAATGGGCCATTGCTGAGCTGCCAAATCTCTTGCTGTGTGAGATGACACATTAATACTGAGCTTATTGGAGCAGGTTCTTTAGTTTTGTGCAGGTTATTTTCCTTGAGGACAGAGCAAAAAGATCTCTTTGTTCCTTCCGTGCATTTGGTGGCATTCCAGAGTAGAGCTGTGATGTCAGGAGCATGAAGACGATTCCTCAGCTCTGTGTCACCTTTGTTCTGCCTTAGGACTGCAGGGTCCTACAGATCCTCCTTCAGATTCCCTAGTGCAGTCACTGTGTTCTCTAGCACTACCACCACAGGCTGGCTGCAGCCTGTGCCAACAAGTAGAGAGCAGGTGGAAGAGGGTACCCTGTAGTGGAGTAGCTGGGTAGTAGGCAAGAAATAAATAATAAAAATTGAGCTAATTTTTCTACCTAATTCAATTATGCTATCACCGCCTAACTTTTTTTTTCTTTTTTTTTTGTGTAGAAGGCTTTTTTTATGTAACACAGATTTAATCCTTTGTTTATTTTTAAAATCCTGTGGTCTTAAGAAACATACCAACTTAATTTGCCAGTTCTAGTTATTAATTCTAAGAATCAACAACAATCTAACACTTTCAGCTTTTATTCTCAGTAAGTTATTCTGTGGTTTTGGCCAGCTTCCTTCCCCACAGCATGCTGATTCTTGAGAAGCAGCAAGTACTTATATCTCCCTTTCTTGTATTTTCCAAAATCCAAATAAACCCAGTAGGTCCATCAAATTTTCTTGTTTCTTATTAAACTCTTGTTCTTTGCCTGGAAAAGTCCTAATTCAAACTCTTCTTTAAGCTCCCTAAACAGATGGCTCTTGTGTGAGGCAAAGGTTCTGACCTGCCTTGTATTTGAGGATTGGTTCACCTGCAAACAAATCTGTGCTCCTGCCTGCCAGAACTGCTTGTCCCATGGCTGGGAACCACATGAAAACCTTGCCTACATTCCCAGCTGCTTGCTCCTGTCTGCAAACCTGGGCATGCACCGTCATCAATTCCAAGTGTTGTTCACCTTATATCACCCCTCTGGGCTCACCTCCCATCTGCCGAGAATCTTAGTTATGTGCGAGTTGGGGAGGACCAGTAACGAGTAGCAGACTCCTAAGTTACTGCTTTTGCAGGTGGCATTGACCCTGTGGAGGGTCTTTGTATCAGTTTGAATGAGATCTGTTTTTTAAAAAGGTATTTAAATAATATCATTCATCTTATCAAAATTCTAAGCTTGTAATTGTCAAGTTTAGGACCATAGGGTTAATATGTCAGTTTATTTATGAACTTTTGGAATTGAAACATTTCAGTTAAGAGATATTTCTTTGCAAAGCAAGTCTTTTGCTAGTTACTTATTTATGGAGGACATAAAACTTGCATGCTGCTTCAGATTAAAAGGTGTGTTCCAGATTCCACAGCTGAAACCGGGTGCTTATTCTACAACTTGAGAGAAGGATCAATTGATAGAGCTGGAGTAGGAACATTACCAGCAATCCACTCTCATACAAAAAACTAACCATCTGAGAAATTCTGGAAAGTAGTCAGTGGGAAAAGCCTCTTCTGAATTTCTTAAACCTTACTCTGGATGTTATCGAGAAATAATTTGAAGTTTTCCTGTAAACACCAAGTTATGTAGTAAAACACTTACTTAAATACCTGCAAAATCATGGAAGATATGTCGTTTTCACCTGTTAATGTCAGCACATATTTTCTCTGTACAAGCACCAGGTGGCATCGTGACTGTGATTATGAGTAGAAGTTTGTATTTTCCATTTCAATTTTATAAATCTCACCTTAAATCAAGATTATTACAGATGTCCTATCTGCAACACAGTTTTGAAAGGTGTTTATCAAGAAATATCTGTTTAGTTAGGATTTATATGGTTATTTACCTTTTTTGCTGCCTTTTTAGAAACTCTGTGTAAATCTTAGGCTTATAATAATGATTTTGTTGTCCAGTATATACATACTATCCTCTGTTTAAAGACTTTTTCTCTCTCATCCTTGTTACCTCCATGTTCCCAATATCAGTTCTTTCTTGAGCAAAATTCTTGAAAACCTCATCCTCTCTGTTATTATAACTTACTGGTCATGTAGAAATGCATTTTTATTTTTAATATAATTATATTTTGGAAGAATTATTGCAACATTTCCATGAACTGATCTTTTTAAAAACTCCCTGCTTTTCACAAGTGCTGCTGTTGTAATATTTTCACTGTTTTTGCCTAGGTCCTGTCTGCAGTGTATGTGTATCATCTTTCGGAGCACGACCAGTTGCAATCTTCAGTGGCTTTATGGTGGCTGGTGGCCTCATGATGAGTAGCTTTGCACCTAATATATACTTTCTGTATCTTTCATATGGGATCGTTGTTGGTAAGGAGCACCTCCCTTTCCTAGAGAGACTTTATTGTTTTCAGTGTTGATTTATGAATCTGGAAAAGGAAGCTCTTTCACAGATGCAGCTAAAGACAGTGGCACCTGAGCTTTCAAGGAATACTGAAGTTCTGGTGGGGGCTGCAGGCAGAGTTTTATAATGTAGGGAAAGAAAAGCTATGCATCTGTTTGCATTCTGTTCACACTGATGGTTCTTTGAGATGGAAGAGCTGAGATTTTACATAAAGCGGAATCAAGTGGTTCTTCTGCAACCATGCCGTGCTAGTCTTAGAGGAATAGCGTTTCTTAAAAAATTTTGCCATGTACTCAATTCTGATTTGATAAACTGGAAATCATTAAGGAGGGATATTGTTATTTATGTAAGCAGATTGGATTTAAAGCACTATGACAAAGGCATGAAAATGCTGTTATCTAAGTAGGTGGTGTGCTGCCTCTCCTGCAGTTGCTGCTGTGGGTGGTTTAAAGACTGCAATTAACTGAAATGAAGACATCTTGCTAGCCAACAAGGGCCCACAGAGTGTGTAAACTTGGCCACATGGCCACGCGGGTGTAGCTGCACTGCTCTCCAGGGCCAGCCCTTGGACAGAGAGCTGTGTAACTCCCGGAGCCCAGAGCCTGAGCTAGTGAGCTCCTCGAATGCGAGGCAGCCACACACACCTTCTGAGACTGGGAATGGTCAAGGCAGGAAGGTGGGACGGTGCAGGAGAGGCACAACTCTCTCTTATCTGAGGAATAAATACAGGCATTCATATCCCATGGTGCACATTTTATTTCTAACTTTTTTTTCTTAAGGACTTGGATGTGGCCTTTTATATACCGCAACAGTTACCATCACGTGCCACTATTTCGACAAACGCAGAGGCCTTGCACTTGGTCTCATCTCAACAGGTATGGCTTTTTAGTTTTCAGCCTTTTTAACTTTTCCACTCTGACTGATGCAACTATCATTATCTTGACCATAAAAATCAGATGTGTATTTTTCTCAGCTACTTCTCAAAGTACTCCTAAATTCAAAACATCAGTAGCACTGAAGATACCATACGAACAGAGTTTAGATGTAATAGTAAATGCGTTTTCACATTTATGGTATAGATAGGAAAAGGAAATGAACTAAAATGAAAGCAAGTTCATCAGTAGCAAGGACTCCATGTAGATGTGCGTAATAGCAGGGAAAACCTGTCACAGAGCACCAGTTTCCTCCTTTTAATTCAGACAACGTCGGAGGTGAGAGAGACCTGAAATGCTGTGTGGTGTAAGTGCTGGATTGTCATAATCCCACATTAGTTGTGCTTTTTAGAAGTATTTGAATTTAAGGTTTACAATTTTTATTTCCTATCTAAAAGGAGACTAAAATTTAAGAATTGGGGTTATAACCTGTCTTTTATACAGAATTGGTAACTTAGTGGACTGAGTCGATGTAGTTAAGTAATCAAATTGTGTCACGCCTGGCTGTCTGTACTGTATGTTGTCTCTCTTCTGATCCCTTTACTAAAGTTGCTGTTAGTGAAGCGAGGTCTGACTAGACACTTAGAGCTTCAAAATAGCAATACCTGGTCCACCTAAGTGGAGTAAAGGGGATTTCTACTGAAGTGTTCGTTGAGCTCATTTTCAGCAACTTTTACTGGGCTGCCAGGTAATCTTGCCCTTGCAGGGATCTTATTGAGCCTTGGCTAGTTTTAGTATATGAAAGACATATCTAAACTTTATAATTATTTTTCCCTATATTTACCATTGAAGTATATAAATGTTTTCAGTAAAACCTAGGGCAGTCTTCAATAAATCATTTTGCATTAAAGTTTATCTTTAAATTGGTTTGAAAAAAAACAATGCTCTGGATTCACAAGGGGAAATCCATTGGTTATAGTGGGCTTATGCATTCCAGCTGGAAATGCTGAAACTTCTTGTTAGTGAATGGAGTTCTTGGCTCTTATGATTACAGTGGTCTTATTTTCCTTTTGTAGGCTCAAGTGTTGGACTCTTTATATATGCAGCATTGCAAAGAGAACTTATTGATCTGTATGGACTGGATGGCTGTCTCCTAATAGTTGGCGCATTGTCTTTAAATATATTAGCGTGTGGCAGTCTGATGAGACCATTGGAGTCATCTGATTCCCCTTCACCAGAAAAAACACGTGTAGACAAAGTCCCAGATCAATATTTTGTTTACCATGAAAAAGAAAAGTCTGTTGAAGAAAATATAAGCATCCTCGAAAAGGGCTACATTGATGAGAAATGTGTGAACAATGTGCCTGATTACAAACCAGATAGCATTTTAAATAAGAATGTATTAGCCTCAATAAATGTAAATGAGAAAGACACTTATAAAAAGAAAGTTGTTGAACAGACAAACTTCTGCAAGCAACTTGCCAAGAGGAAGTGGCAGCTCTATCTGAACTACTGGGAGGAAACTGTGGTTCTTTTTAAGAACAAAGTATTTTCAGCTCTCTTTGTTGCCATCTTGCTCTTTGACATTGGTGGATTTCCTCCTTCACTGCTCATGGAAGATGTAGCAAGAAGTGCAAACATCAGTGAAGATGACTATCATGTGCCCCTTATTTCCATAATAGGCATTATGACAGCTGTTGGCAAACTTACTTTAGGAATACTAGCAGATTTTAAATGGATAAATACTTTATATCTATATGTATCAACCTTAATAATGACCGGAATGGCCTTGTTTGCGATTCCATTTGCCAAAAGTTACCTTACGTTAGCGATGCTTTCTGGGTTTTTGGGTTTTTTGACTGGAAACTGGTCAATTTTTCCATACGTGACAACAAAGACTGTAGGAATTGAGAAACTGACACATGCATATGGGATATTGATGTTCTTTGCTGGACTTGGAAATAGCCTCGGACCACCAATTGTAGGTAAGGTGAAGTTAGAAATTACAAAATTCCAATGAGCTTGTCGGGACCAGACAATTAGTTTGCATGCAAGTAGTTCTAGCTGGTCCTATTAACAATGAAAAAGTGAAATTAAAGTCTTAGAAAAGATCACTTTTGTGGAGGTGGGTGAGCTGGTTGTGTTCTGTTTACTACTTTGATGAAAAGCACATTAAATGTGCAGTTTAGATTTGACCTTTCATTTTCACAGTGTCTCTCTACCTTACAGTGCTGTGTTGCATTTGACTCATCACTGATGCTCTTCTCTTTTGTTTCCACCCTTCAGGTTGGTTTTATGACTGGACGCAGGAGTATGACACTGCCTTCTATTTCAGTGGCTTTTGTGTATTACTTGGTGGATTTCTTTTGCTGTTGGCAGCGTTACCCTGCTGGAATGCCTGTGCCAATCAGAGCTCCAAGCTGCCTCCAAATACTTACTCCTACAAAGTTGCATCTAGCGCCTAGATGACAACTGGAAAACACTTCATTTTTTTTATATTATGTAACAAAATATTTTAGTAATTTTCCACTTATTTATGAAGTCCAAAAATCCTGTTCCACTAGCAAAATTCCATTGTTGCTTGATGTTCCACTCTTTTTTAATGAACAGTCTTATTTTTTCTGTTATGCACTGTGTTCTCAGCCTTTGTCTACTGTAATTTCCTTTCACCCTGTTATGGGTATATTCTGCTGTATTATCAGCTGTATTTTTTTTAAGGTCGGGGGGACAACAGAGACTTTGAAACAAAAATAAAGGCCTAATCCTTGTAGGGGAAGGAAGGCATTACTGTCACCTCTTATAGGTCTCTAAGTTGCACAATCAGACTTTACAAAACAAAAATTTGCCTTATTATAATGTAATACTGTGGTGAGGTGCTTGTAATATCATGCTTAGCTTAACAACTTGTTTTTTTTTAAAGTTTCTACAATTTAAAATGAAGTGCCAATGCAGGGGAGAAGAAGAGGGGGAACAAAACCAACCTTGTGTTACATAATTGAACTTGATGATGAAAGTAAAAATTCTTAATACCACTGAAACCAAGAGCTATGTTTATAAGTATTGCACATTTTGTGAAGTCTGTTTATAAAATTGTTGAACCAAAATCTTTTAAACCAAGGAATAAATATGATTGTTGAAACCGTGTAAAGAAATGCTGACTTGGTTATGCAAGTTCATAATCTTCAGATTGGAGCTGGAATTCTGCCATTACAGAGGCTCGCAGAAACCCCCAAGTGGGTGTTCCCAAAGGTTTGCAGGTCACCCACAGGCCAACAGTGACGGGGGCCTCTGTTGTTGCACAGCTCCAGTTTAGTAGGTTGGACTTGTTGAAAGTACCTTGTACTTAATAGTAGAGATATCAACAAAGTAGGTTTGGTTAAAAAAATGAATCATGATAGGTCATTTCAGCTCTTTTTTTTTTTTTTTGGAATGGGCATAACTATGAGAGACATTAGCAAAATAAGTAAGGAAATGTTGTGGAGGGAAGGAATAACTGAAGAAGTACAGGGTAAAACTGAATGGAAAGAGTTCAGATGCTGAAACAGCAGGCAGGCACAAAAAAGAGAAAGCTGCTGAAACTCACTGCTCAGGTACTCAGTAGTTGCAGGACAGCACTCTGTTGTGTGTTCAATCCAAGGCTCGAGTTGGAGAGGCTGGTGGTAACTTCCCTGAATAATGGGAGCAACTCTTGCTGCTTCAGCTGCTCCCGTGTCACAGTTGTCTGCTCACTCTTGCAAAGCAGTCACAGAAATCTTCCATCTGTCTGTTGTGTCTCCTGGGCACTTTGACTCTTTGCTTTAGGTTTAAAGGTTACTGGAGCAAGTTGGAAGTCTTGTGCGAGGTGGAATTTCAGTGACTTTTCAGAGTTAAATACTGCATGGTTCACTGCAAATGCTTAAGTAGTTCTCGGCGTTACTCTGGTCCTCAAATGTCCACTGTGGTTCCAGGTCATAAATACTCCATAAAATTAAAAAATAGGCATTTAACTGAGCAATGTTTATTGTCAAAGGCTATGCACAGAGTTGCTATGTTTGCAAATCTCTTAATAGGGCAGACATGGGTGCAAGTCATGTTCCCTCTTCTGATCCAAGGCAGGAGAATCTAGCTTGGCTTCTACTGGTATTCTGGGATTCACTTCTTTTAGTTTGTATTGAAGGTTGTCAAAAATGTGGATGCAGTTAGATTAGCTCTTACTATTTTTTCTCTCCATTTGCCAGCTGGGTGTAATTTCCTGAATTGCTTCCTCGGTGTATGTGGGGGGAAAAAAAATCTTAAGTAGGGTATTCAAAGTATACATTTGTCTCCAGTTTCAAACTGGTGTCCTGGTATCTGATAAGGATTTGTGCTGGTAGCATATGATGTATGGCAACTGAAATCCGTGTTTACTGTGTGCATGTGAAAGTAGTGCTGGGAGTGTTACACATCTAAAGAAACTGCCGTGGCATAATGTACATTACCAGGTTGTGTGTGCATTCAGATGAGTATCTTTTAATGTTTCTTGCATCCTGTCAACTTTACATTCTCAGCCCTTTAAATGTGAAATTGATGTTGCTTTACTTGTTGGTCTGAAAAAATCCAGCCAAAATTAATGTTAATGATTAGGGCAATATATAGCATGCTTTGCAATGGAAATGGAGTCTATTATTAGGCAGCTTGATATGTTTGGAAATATGACTAGTGATGTATGATAGTTTCCTGATGTAACCTCACCCCTAAGTGAGGAGAGCGCCTGGGCTGTGGGGGAATTTTATCTTGCTGTTGCAGTCAATATGTATAAGGACTCCCAGTCCTGACCAATTGGGTCAACATTGTGACCATAGTAGTCTTGACTGCATTTGATAAACAAGACCTGGGACAAACGTTCCGTTCCTGCTTTTGCTTCTCGGGTTTTTAGGGCGCTGTTTTCCAGAGTAGCTTGCCATAGATGCTGCAACTTAACAGTAACCCAGTGTTAATTCTGTGCAGTTTGGAAGCTATTTGACAGCAAGGAGTTTTTGGATATTTGATATTATGCGGATTTGCCAAGTTTAAATTATTTCTGTTCCTGCCTATGAGCTGCTTTGGCCAGTTTAGTAGTTTTGTAGCTAGAGAAAGTAAGTAGATCAACTGGAAGAGTGATAATAATGAGTTACTCTGAGCATGGAGCTCAAAGCTGAAAAACTTGAGAGAAACAAGAACTGGAGAAATAGTGATGCCTGATTTTCTGACATGTCCATCCTTTGTTCCTGCACCTCTGTGACAGTTGGCATGACTGGGTGCTGCAGGTAGCTGTGAGGTGAGCAAGGATTCATTGCTTAGGTGCCAGCAAACAGAATACAGTGACTGAGTTCATCCACTTTTTCTGCCAGCATTAAATTTGGAGCATTAATTTTGGCTTCACCTTTGCCCAGCCACTGCTTCTCAAAAATTGTAGTCATACAGGTTTTATCCGAGAACTTTCTCTTTTTCTGTCTAGCAACCTGGCCAAGATGTTCTAGTTTTGGGTTTTTTTTTTTTTTTGGTTCAGTATGATTATCTAGGCCTTGTTTGTGTGAAACACAGATTATTGATGTTAGTAGGCTAGCAGAGATAGGTGGTTATAGAGTTCTATGTAGAATTAGATTTTGCATTCTCTCTTTAGTTTTATAGTCCTTGACAAACAGACCTAGAAGAGAAGGAATGGGATACTTAGATAATTACTCTTTATACTATACTGCAGAATAAGGAGATTTTGTTGTTGTATAAACAAATTAGTTACTGTAGAATTGGTTAAAAAAAGAACATTAATTTTCTTATTGGCAGATACTGTGAAAATTTATAGTAGTTACAGAGACACAAGACATATCTAACTGCCAGGTTTTATTAGATTTAATGATTTTCTTCTGTGCCTTGCTAGATTGTTGATCTCTATGATTTTTTTCAAAAATTAAATTACATTAAATTGATACTGGATAACAGCATTGCATACTGACATTGAACGATGTGCTAAGTAAGGGCTACAGCTCATATGCAGTGTGAATTGTTTGAGATGTTTGCATACCGTTATACTGACATTCTGTTTTTTTGATTTGAAAGGTATTTTAGTTATAAAGTTAACTTCAGTTATAAAGAGTTCTAAGGATTCTTGAGAAGGGTAATTCTGGTAAGTATGTTAGTCTCAGTACGATGCCAGTCAGATTAAAAATACTGAAAGATACATGATACAGATATTGTATATATATATGCAAAAGTAAATGGCAAAGACTTCTTTCTAGTATTAAATAAATTCCTCAGAATCAAAAGTCTATTTTGGTAACATTTTGCTTTGGAATCAAATAATTATGTCAAAGAGCTAAATAGAAGACTTCTCATTCTTCTTACCAGAAGTAGTCTTTGGAGTCATGCCATTATGTTCTCTACTTGCCAAATTCTTCTTACGTTTCTTAGAAGAAAGACACATCCACTTTTAAACAGTGATGCTTTTAAACAGTTGAAACAGTTCTCAGAAGCAGATATTTAGGAGCTCGTTTTATACTGTGCTGTATCATGTAAGGGTTTTGGTGCAGGAATTAAATGAGCTGGTGATTTGACGTTTCTATAAATAGCTGTCTATTTCTGGCTTGTCACTCTCATAACTACTGAGAAGGCTTGACTCGTTTCTTTGTAGGGCCCTTATTGTAGGGCCTTAAATTTTGTATGGTAGCTTTTCAAGTTAGTTTTATTTTTGTGTCCATATTTTGTTGGAGCAAAACTATTGGGTCAGCTTTACCTTGTTTTCATTTGTGGGATATTTATTTATTGTTGTTCCTAAATAATCAAATCTGTCCAAATTTGTTTTACCAGCCCTAAAATTTCCTGCTTCCAGAACCTAAAGACTAATTTGTCCAAAATGAGGATAATTTTGAAATTCTCGCCCAGAGCTGTAGATCTGAAATCAAATATGACTGGTATGAATGTAGATCTCTCACCTTTTCTCCCTGCAGATGCTAAAAACTTTGTTTAATGAGGAACAAGTGTCTTGTGCTTGGGTGATACAGAAGAGTGAAGATAGGACAAACCTTGTGGCTTCACTTTCCCATCGCTATGCTTTTCCCTCTTTGGATTGCCTGTGTAAGGTCCAGCTTTTGTGCTGCAGTTTTATGAGATAGCACAAGGTGAGGTTTAGGAAACTTGCAGTGACTCAAGCTTGATGTTTAACATGCTTGTCCATCCAGTCTTCTCCCTTAGAGCGCAACTGGGAGTAATGTACAGTAATTCATGGAACATGTACTTCAGGAGTCTTCAAGGAAGCATCTGCCTGCCAGCTTGCTGAGCCCCTGTGCAAGTACAGAGAGTTGAAATACAGTGAGTTACTCAGACCATAGTTCTAGTTACATTTTCTGCAGTGGAAGTAGCTGTGCCGGGCATCCAAACAGGGTATCGCTGTTTCTGGGTGCTGGTTGTAAACCCCCCCAGACTGGGGATGACCACTGGAACAGTTCCTTTGTAAGCTGCCCTTGTGGCCATTGTCCCTGTGCAATGAGGGTGCAGCCTGCAGTGTTCACAGCTGCCTTTGGATCCCAATTTATTCTTACCAGGTCATAGTTAAACTTAAAAAAATAGTTTCTTTTGGTTCAAATTCATTTGCATTTTTTGTCCCTGTTTCTCTCATGGCAAGCTGAAAATCATCCAGCTGAACTTTCCTACTGTAACTGGAGTTACAGCTCATGTTGAAGTGTAAACATGTTTTCTGTCATTAACAGCAATAACTAGGAGCTATTATTGAGTAACAGTACCAGTTTTATAAATGGTCAATACTCTGACCAACTCTGTATTTACAGATATCTATATTATGTGCTCTCTTGTGATTATAACTTTAAAATTTGATGCAGGATGTGTGTATCAAGTTGCAGTAAGTCGTGATAGGTGCTGTTGGAATCAAATTACTTTGCTGTTTAATTAAAATATTCCAGGGTCAGAGCGGCTGTCATCCTGCTTTGCATTAATTAGGGCGAACCAGGATAACTGAAATCTGGCATGTCTTGAATTACAACAAATATCATGAGGGCAAGTTTACATAAAATGCTTCAATTAATATTTTCTTTAAATAAAACAGGGATATGTGCTGATGATCTCAGG